AGAAAGAGAGGGGAAAAACAAAGAAAGATAGAAACATAGGAAAGAAAGAGAGGGGAAAAACAAAGAAAGAGAGAAACATAGGAAAGAAAAAGCGGGAGAAAGATGAAGAAAGAGAGAAATATGGAAAAGAAAGAGAGGGGAAAAACAAAGAAAGAGAGAAATATAGAAAAGAAAGAGAGGGGAAAAACAAAGAAAGAGAGAAACATAGGAAAGAAAGAGAGGGAGAAAAACAAAGAAAGAGAGAAACATAGGAAAGAAAGAGAGGGAAAACAAAGAAAGAGAGAAACATAGGAAAGAAAGAGAGGAGAAAAACAAAGAAAGAGAGAAAATATAGGAAAGAAAGAGCGGGGAAAAGACGAAGAAACAGAGAAGCATAGGAAAGAAATAGATGAATGAAGAGAGAAACATAAGAAATATATATATATATATATATATATATATATATATATAGAGAGAGAGAGAGAGAGAGAGAGAAAGACAAATAAGGAGAGAATCATCGTAAAGAAAGAGAGGGTGAAAGACGAAAAAAGAAACATAGGAAAGAATGAGAGAGGAAGATAAAAAAGAGAGAAACATAAGAAGGAAAGAATGGGAGAAAGATGAGAAAGAATGAGATTGGAAAGACAGAGAAGGAGGGAAACATACGAAAGAAAGGGAGTGAGAAAGACGAAGAAAGAGAGAAGAATTGAAAAGAAATAACGTGGAAAGAGAACGAAAGAGAGAGACATAAGAATGAAAGAGAGGGAGAAAGACGTAAAAAGAGAGAAACCTATGGAAGGAAAGAGCGGAAGAAAAACGAAGAAAGAGAGAAACATAGGAAAGAAAGAGAGGGAGAAAAACAAAAAAGAGAGAAAAATAAAAAAGAAAGAGATGGGAAAAAAACAAAAAAAAGAGAAATATAGTAAAGAAAGAGAGGGAAAAAAAAAAGAAAGAGAGAAAAGAAAAAGAAAGAGAGGGAGAAAAATGAAAAAGAGAGAAATATAGAAAAGAAAGAGAGGGAAAAACAAAGAAAGAGAGAAACAGGAAAGAAAGAGAGGGAAAAAATAAAGAAAGAGAGAAATATAGTAAAAAAGAGAGGGAAAAAAAAAGAAAGAGAGAAATATAGAAAAGAAAGAGAGGGAAAAAAAAAAGAAAGAGAGAAATATAGGAAAGAAAAAGAGGGAAAAAGAAAAGAGAAAAATAGGAAAGAAAAGAGGGAGAAAACCAAAGAAAAGAGAAATATAGGAAAGAGAAAGAGGGAAAAAAAAGAAAAAGAGAAAAAAGAAAGAGAAAAAAAAAAAAAGAGAGAAAAATAGGGAAGAAAAAGAGGGAAAACAAAGAAAGAGAGAAACATTGGAAAGAAAGAGAGGGAGAAAGATGAAAAAAGAGAGAAATATAGAAAAGAAAGAGAGGGGAAAAACAAAGAAAGAGAGAAACATAGTAAAGAAAGAGAGGGGAAAAACAAAGAAAGAGAGAAACATAGTAAAGAAAGAGTGGGAAAAACAAAGAAAGAGAGAAATATAGAAAAGAAAGAGAGTAGAAAAACAAAGAAAGAGAGAAACATAGGAAAGAAAGAGAGGGAAAAAAGAAAGAGAGAAACATAGGAAAAAGAGAGGAGAAAAACAAAGAAAGAGAGAAACATAGCATGAGAAAGAGAGTGAGAAAAGAAGAGAAAAACGTGCAATAAAAAGAGAGAGAGAGAGAGAGAGAGAGAGAAAGACAATAAAATGGAAACATAATGATATATATAGAGGAAAACAAAGAAAGACAGAAACATAGCATAAGAAAGTGAGTGTGAAAGACAAAGAAAGAGAGAAACATATAAAGAAAAAGAGGGTAAGGTAATCAAAGGGAGAAACATAAGAAAGAAAGTAACATAAGAAAGAAAAAGAGGGAGAACAACGAAGAAAGTGAGGAAGAAAGACAAAGAAAGCGAGAAACATAAAAAAGAACGAGAGGGAGAAAAAGAAAGAAAGAGAGAAACATAGCATAAGAAAGAGAGGAAGAAAGACGAACATAAAATGAAACATAGGAAAGAAAGATAGAGAAAAAGACGAAGAAATCGAGAAACATGGGAAAGAGAGGGAGAAGTGCAAAGAAAGAGAGAAACATTAGAAAGAAACAGATTGAAAGACAAAGAAAGAGAGACACATAAAATAAAGAAAGAGAGGGAGAAAGACGAAGAAAGAAAGAAAGATAAATAAAGAGAAGGAAGTGGAAAGGAAGAGAAAAACATAAAGAAGAAAGAGAGAGAGAAAAACGAAGAGAGAGAGAGAGAGAACATAAGAAATAATGAAAGAGAGGAAGAAAGGCCAACGAAGAAAGAAGCATAAGCAAGAAAAAGAGGAGAAAGACAAAAATAGAGAACAAGAAAAAAGAGAGGGAGAAAGATGAAGTAAGGGAGAAACTTAAGAAAGAAAGAGAGAGAGAAAGAAATATAGAGAAAAGCATAAGAATGAAAAATGTGAGGGAAAAGACAAAGAAAGAGAGAAGCTTAAAAAAGAAAGACTGGAGAAAGACAAAGAATGAGGAACATACGAAAGAAAGAGAGGGAGAAAAACGAAGAAAGAGAGAAACATAATGAAGCACAGGGGAAGAGAAAGAAAGCGAGAAACATGAGAAAGAAAGAGATGGGGAAAGAGGAAGAAAGAGAGATCATGAAAAATGTGAGGGGAAAGACAAAGAGAGAGAGAAGCTTAAGAAAGAAAGAGTGGAGAAAAACAAAGAAACATAAGGAAGAAAGAAGACGAAGAATGCGAGAAACATAAGAAATAAAAAGAGGGTGAAAGACGAAAAAAGAGACAAAGAGAGATAAGAAAGAAAGAGAGGGAGAAAGAAGAATGCGAGAAACATAAAGAAAAGAGGGTGAAAGACGAAGAAAGGGAGAGACATAAGAATGAAAGAGAGGAAGAAATACAAAGAAAGATAGACACATAAGAAAGAGAGGGAGACAAAAGAAGAAAGAGAGAAACAAAGAAAAAAGGGTGAAAGACGAAGAAAGGGAGAGACATAAGACATAAAGAGAGGGTGAAATACGAAGAAAGAGAGAGACATAAGACATAAAGAGAGGGTGAAAGACGAAGAAAGAGAGAGACATAAGAAGGAGAGGGAGACAGAAGAAGAAAGAGAGAAACAAAGAAAAAAGGTGAAAGACGAAGAAAGGGAGAGAGACAAAGAAAAAGAGAGAAGAAAGACAAGAAAGAGGGAGACATAAGACATAAAGAGAGGGTGAAATACGAAGAAAGAGAGAGACTTAAGAAAGAGAGTGAGACAGAAGAAGAAAGAGAGAAACAAAGAAAAAAAAGGTGAAAGACGAAGAAAGGAAGAGACATAAGACATAAAGAGAGGGGTGAACGACGAAGAAAGGGAGACATAAGACATAAAAGAGAGGGTGAAAAGACGAAGAAAAGAGAGACATAAGACATAAAGAGAGGGGCGAAAGACGAAGGAAAGGAGAGACATAAGACATAAAGAGAGGGGTGAAAGACGAAGAAAGGGGAGAGACATAAGACATAAAGAGAGGGAAAAAGACGAAGAAAGGGAGAGACATAAGAATGAAAAAAGGACAAAAGAAATTTTCAAAGAGAGAGACATAAGAAAGAGAGGAGACAGAAGAAGAAAGAGAGAAACAAAGAAAAAAAAGGTGAAAGACGAAGAAAGGGAGAGACATAAGACAAAGAGAGGGCGAAAGACGAAGAAAGGGAGAGACATAAGACTTAAAGAGAGGACGAAAGACGAAGAAAGGGAGAGACATAAGACTTAAAGAGAGGGAGAAAGACGAAGAAAGAGAGAGACATAAGACATAAAGAGAGGGCGAAAGACGAAGAAAGGGAGAGACATAAGACTTAAAGAGAGGAAGGAAAAAACGAAGAAAGAGAGAGACATAAGACATAAAAGAGAGGGCCTCGACGAAGAAAGGGAGAGACATAAGACATAAAGAGAGGGTGAAAGACGAAGAAAGAGAGAGACATAAGACATAAAGAGAGGGCGAAAGACGAAGAAAGGGAGAGACATAAGACATAAAGAGAGGGTGAAAGACGAAGAAAGGGAGAGACATAAGACATAAAGAGAGGGCGAAAGACGAAGAAAGAGAGAGACATAAGAATGAAAAAGAGGGTGAAATACGAAGAAAGAGAGAGACATAAAAAAGTGAGGGTGACAGAAGAAGAAAGAGAGAAACAAAGAAAAAAAAGGTGAAAGACGAAGAAAGGGAGAGACATAAGACTTAAAGAGAGGACGAAAGACGAAGAAAGGGTAAGTCATTAGAATGAAAGAGAGAAAGAAATACGAAGAAAGAGAGAGAGACATAAGAAAGAGTTGGAGGAAATTAGCGAAAAATAAAGAATTCTTTTAGAAAAACTATCGATAAAAGAATTAAAATCTGAAAGCGCCATGTTTCTCTTCCCATCATCCCTTTCGCCCTACCTAACAAAAACGAAACAACCATCCCTGATAATATCTTTGAGGTAGGCTTCTAGATAAAAATTAATGGCATTTCTCGTTCTAAATTTAGAAACAGCTCGTGATTTAATGAGCTGTTAGAACGGCCAGCCAATAACGATGTTGACCAATAATAAATGAATGTCGAAGACAAGGAATAAAAAAATGGAGAGGAAGAAAAAAGAAGAAGAAGAAGAAGAAGAAGAAGAAAATAACAATATGGGTGTGGTGATAATGAAGCAATGCTCAGCTGCTGACGTCGCCTTCACCCTCGTCAGTGACATCGACTTCGACAGATAGGGGCCCCGATCGAGTCGACGTCAATGAAGTGAATGTCAAAAAATATGTCCGCACAGCAACCGGACAAAGATCTGGGTAAATTTGCCCAACGGTAATTCCGTCGCTACGAGATTTCGGTAGTAATTGAGCGGTAACCTGCGAGAGACTGGCACCTTCGTTTCCTTCATGGCCTGAAGCATATTTCGAGATTGTTATAAACCTTATACTCTTTTCTTTTTTCTTATTCTTCTCACGTTCCTCCCTCTCACGTCACATTTACCCTTTTTTTTCGACTCTTTCCCTAAACCTTTATTCTCTTCTATAGCTGATCTCTCTCTCTCGTTCCCTCTTTCTTTCTTTCTTTCTTTCTTTCTTTCTTTCTTTCTTTCTTTCTTTCTTTTGGTCTTTCTTACTTTGTTTTCCGTACATTTGGGGATAAAACGATCTTTCTTTTTTTCTTTTCAATTTATTTAGACAAGTTTTTCTTTCTTTCTTTCTTTCTTTCTTTCTTTCTTTCTTTCTTTATTTATTTATTTTCTTTCTGTTCTTTTCTTTTTCTTTTCTTTCTTTTCTTTCTTTTCTTCCCTTTCTTTTCTTTTTCATACTTCCTTTTTCTTTTTCCTTTTATTTCTTTAATTCTCCCTTTTCTTTCTTTCTTTCTTTATTTATTTTTTTTTTTTTCTTTCTTTCTTTTTCTTCTTTCTTTTTTCTTTTCTTTCTTTTCTTCTTTTCATTTTTTTTCTTTCTTCTGTTTATTTAGGCAGCTTATACTTTCTTTAATATTTTTTACGCAACTTTTTCTTTCCTTTCTTTCTTTCTTTCTTCTTTTCTTTCTTTCTTTCTTTCTTTCTTTTTTCTTTCTTATTTCTGTTTATTTATTTATTTTCGCCTCTTCACTACTTAGACTCTTTCTTTCTTTCTTTCTTTCTTTCTTTCTTTCTTTCTTTCTTTCTTTCTTTCTTTCTTTTCCTTCACTTATAATTTAATTTTCCCTAAGTTGATTATTCTTTCTTTCTTTTTTCTTTCTTTTTCTTTCTTTTTCTTTCTTCGCCATTTCCATCACCGTCATAGACGCCACCGTTATGGGCTGTCATCGACGTTTATCACACTGACGACGTCGCCGATGTCTCCACCACTGTCCATGACGTCGACCGTGAACAGCACGACTGTCACCCTGTGCCGCTGTAACCGGAGCCGGCGCTCACACCGAATACGACAACGTCGACAACGCCTCCATCAACGTCGTCACGGCGTCTTTCTCGCTCTTTCCACCCGAACACCGTCATCAACGTCACCAGCGTCCGGATCCCACGTTCAATTTGCTCACTCGCCCATCTCTTCCTTCAAATCTACAAACATTCTTCGCTTTCTTCACGACTTCTTTTATTCATTGTAATGTCCTTCTAGGCGTAGCCATCTACCTTGGCACTACCCGTCGTGTTTAGATGCTCGGCTGTCGTTAGCTGCCTCTGCATTTGGGTTGGCCATTACATCAGAGCCTATGTTTTAGGTGAACGGGACAAATATGTGCCAGCGTCCGATTCCTAACGTGGACAAAAAGAAGAAATTAGCCATTCGACGAGATAGATAGATAGATAGATAATGATGAAACCGAGATAGATAGATAGATAGATAGATAGATAGATAGATAGATAGATAGATAGATTTAAACAACCTGAAATAGATAGATAGATAGATAACAGACCAAGATAGATAGATAGATAGATAGAGAGATAGAGAGAGAGAGAGAGAGAGGGGAGAGAGAGAGATAATGAGAAATAGAATGTTGAAAAAATGATACAAGGAAAATGCGGTCGAAGCGAAATCTCTCTCTCTATTTCTCTCTCTCTCTCTCTCTCTCTCTCTATATATATATATATATATATATATATATGTGTGTGTGTTTGTGTATACAGAGAGAGATATATAGATCGATAGATGGAGATTATATATTTACACACGTGTATTCAGACAAACACAAAGACACACTCACACACACGCACGCGCGCACACACACACACACACACATATATATACGTGCTTGTGCATCTGTGTGTGTGTGTGCGTGTGTATATATACAGGGAGAGATATATAGATCAATAAATGGAGACGATATATTTGCACACGTGTATTCACACATACACACACACACACACACACACACACACACACACATATCTACCTGCGTGTGTGTGATCATCTATGTTTGCATGTGGGTGTTTGTGTGTATGTATTTGTGTGTACATCCATATATCCGCAATCTGGAAAAGTAAAAATTCTTCATATTCATAAAACGAATATATGTATTTCAACATACAATAATTTTTGTCAAGGCACTTAATTCCTTTAGTGAACATTAAATAACTGCATATCTGGCTACGGACTAATTGATCTATCGTTGCAAGGAGGAAACACAAAGTACGTATATATATATATATATATATATATATATATATATATATATATATATATATACACATACATATCTATTTATCTATTTATCTATCTATCTATCTATCTATATACATATATATATACATATATATATACATATACATACACACACACACATATATAGCTAGAGAGAGAGAGAGAGATATCATTTTTAATTTATTTTGTTTTAACGTTATTTTTGACGGATGCACATAATTGAGTAGAAGCTCTGATTTCTTTTTTTACTTTTTTTGAACAGTATTTTTTATTTAACAGCATCTACCGACCTGAATATTCGAAATATTTTATCAAAAAGTTATGGTCCTCCGGCAGGATTCGAACTTGCATCCCCTTGAGGAAATTGTAAGA